CTCGGCAGGCAATAACAAACCTCCGACTGTATTTCTGCCATGAAAAACAGCTTCTCATAAAAATACAATCGCCGTTCGGAGTCGGCGTAAAACTGTAGGTCCCTCTGCTTTGTGTGACAACATCAAGGCGCACGCCACAAATCGGAGGAGAAGCTCGGCCAAACACTAACATATGTGTAAGCGCCAATCTATTATTATTATTAATCTTCCAAATGCTATGTGGGCTTGTGCAACATATGTATGTATGTACATACGTACTCGTACAACGTACGTTATATTCTTACTGTCACGGAGACCTTAATAGTTTAAATAGTTTATTAAGTTAAGGTTTAAACACAGAACTTTTCACAATGCGTGCAAAGTTTTTTAACTAATTTCTTTTCACAAATTTTTTTGTTTTTAATAATAAAACTTTGTGCAAAACTCGGGAAAATTCAATAAATTTCCAACTTTCAACGCGCTTTTTGGCAATTTTTTTCTGACAATCCCCTCTATTCTAAAAGTCACAAAACTTAGCTCATCACTGTTGTGATTTCTAGTGCGCCGAGAAATGTGTCACAAAAAATTCGATATTAAGTGCTAGAAAAATAAACAAAAATTTAAAAATTTGTATTGTAGCGGCATATTTTTTGCAGCGGCAAGCTTTGAGGCGCAGTAGAAATCACAGCAGTGATGAGCTAAAGTTTGTGACTTTGTCAGAATACGGCTGAATGTCTCTTATACAAAGTATGTTCGCCATTTGTTTATATGGCAGGCACTGCCAGAAAGAAATTGTCAAATATCAACGCGATTTTTTGTAACTTGGAACTTGCACTCAGAAGATCTATTTAAAAAGTAGCGAATTCATTGAATTTATCTGAGTTCTGCATAAAGTTTAGAATGAAATTGGAATAAAAAACTTTGCATACATTGTGAAAAGTTCTCTGTGTCAATTCCTTTTATGCAGGAGGGTAATTTTGAAATACTTTCAACTGTAATAATGAATTTTATTAAAAAACAATTTCGTTGTTTCATTAACGCTTCTTTTGAACTCAATAAAATATGCTCAGTAGCTGATTATAAAC